ACAGCATGGAAGATAAATAAAATTTTATACTCAATTGGAAGAAACTTTTATTTTACTACCATTACTTTTCTAGTCAAAACAATTATATACTTTGGATATTCAAAAGTAGATGGCAAATATCAGACATAGGTTTAATCTATTCATCTTTTACACATGCATCATATTTTTTCTGGCCTTTTTTTTAGTAAGGTGGTAAGCTTTTCATGGTTATATACATGGTTTCAAGGAAGAACTACTCCGATAAAAACCCCTATTGGCCTATCCGCTCAAACAAACGAAATGAAATTTCAGATATTATGATTTGAATGTATACACTCAAAATTCTGATGACAAAATAATAAAACTCTCACGGTTGTGGCCACAGTCAAAATTTTTAAATGGCAAAACCTTTTTTTGTGCAATTGATCAGCACTTTGAAAAACTATAATGGCACTGAAACAATAAACGTATGACATAAATTGCCAGCATTAAACATTTGCAAAGAGCACTGTACAGGACCAATGACAACACAAGAGGACGTTTGGTTTGCTTTATGTGATTATGGCAAAGCCTCAAGGGCTATCTGCATAAGGGAAGGGATGCCTTCATGGAGGACTTATATACATGTCATACATAGGGAAAACCACGAAAACTCCCCTGCAGCCAGCTCACAACACAAGAGAAGAGAGGAGGGAAACTTTAAATCGAATTACAAGTTTTAAACATGCCCACCTTCACAGAAACTAACACACTGTATGCAGGAAATGTTGACAACAAGGACAGACTATTGCAGGAGAAATCTGTATAACTTCACGTTTTATGGAATCTTTCAATTCTGACAAATTTCATGGATTTGATGTGCACACCTTAGATTTCGGATAACCCCAGAACCAGAAATCTATCTGAGTGCAGTCGGGTCATTGCTGTGGCCACGAAAATGCACAGTCACAGAAGATGACTCTAAAGTGTTACTGACATGCATACATATAATGTCATCAACAACATTTTGCTGCTGCAATTCTGGAATGACATAATTCTGCAACATTGTTGCATACCGAGCATTTGCTATGGAATGCATTTCCATACCTGTGGAAGCGACCTTTTGAAAGAAGTATAGACTGAGAACGAATGTGCATACAATGCTACATCACAGTCACTTTAGCTTTGTGTAGAGGTGCTGGTGCCACATCGTGAAGATTTTCATCAGCCTAGTGAACACAGTTCTGGGAGTTTACGTTTCCTGTTATACAGAAATGCACCCTATCCATGCATAATATCCACACTGACCACCTGCTATATTCTTCACATCTGACGAGGAAAAAATTTACGAAGTTGATATGCTAGAATCAATAAGGAAACATTCGCAAAACAGTACAAACTTGAGGACTACGGTTTTTGGTACATCTAAACTGTGGGCAGCACTTCTTGCAGTATGCAATGGACCTGCAGTAATCATATTATGCATTGTCACAACAACTTCAACAGGAACACATCATTGTCCCGCTATCACATGTGCATCCAGTTTCATCTGATTTTTTTAAGAGATCATGTACAAGGTAAAAATATATTTCAGGATAACCCTTGGCGAAAATTGGTGATTTTTTGGCACCATTCCCATTTATGTCCAACGCCGTCCCCAGTAAAATAACGTCCAAAACATAATGCAATAAAACATAATTAAAACAAAAAATATATAATCTCAATAAACTGTATTTTAATCAAACAATGGAATAACACAAAAAAGGAAATACACGTTACCTCATGTATTCACTACAAAAAGGAAATATTGACTTAACTTATTTAGAAATTTCTGTGTCTTCAGGCCAAAATTTCTGCGTCTTCACGCTGTGACACACAAAAATTTAACAGCACCCAAAAACTTTCTAAAATTATCTGAACTAGAATCTGTATATTGCCATAGGCACATAAATTAAAAAAATAAGAATTAAAAAAATCCTCCGTAGCATCGGACAAACCCATTCAAAGCCATCTGAACAATCTTTATGTTTGACCATACAGGACACTTATAATGACTACTAAGTAAACCTTCATTTACACACCAGGTCTATAATGCTTTTTCTCCCTTTTGTTCTAAATTGTACAAAAACTTCAGATTAACCTTCCAGCACGTGCATATGCGCAAAATTTATGACGAATTCAGTTTTTTATTGCACATTTTTCACATATCGAAGCTAAGATGTCTGAAAGTCATTTCTATTCCTCCTTTCTACCCTTCATCACATCATTTTTTAACTGGGCTTTTGTGCTACGTGGCAGCTTTTCTAAATTTATGACACTGCGGGTGTTTTAAATTCGGGAAAATTTATTTCTCAAATATTTTGTGTAGTAATTGCCATGTATTATTTTAATTTGAATAAATTAGGCTCTTTAAATTTATATCGGGTTTTCATGGCAAAAGATATGTGCAACCAGCTGTTTTGCTCCGATTCTTCCAAGAATTATCTGATGAAGAAAAGGAAGACAAGGAAACCTTAGGATGGGAGAACAATAGCGATTTCCATTCCTTATTTTCTTTTATTTCTATTTTTCAGAAATAAATAAAAACATTAAAGTACATTTTTGTAACCAGTAAGAAGTAAAGGCTAATCCTTGGAATATGGTAACAGGCAGTTTGGCGACATTTTGATAAGGCGATAAAGGTTGCTAGCTAGGACTTTAGCAGTGTACATGGGTAAAGTCAAGAGTGTGCGCAATGCCATTTTTGTGCAATTCTGGGATGTTTTTTTAAGTGAAAATAGGTCAACGTGTACATGGATACCGTGTATGTGCAATTCTTAAAAACGCGTCAAGCAGTTTGCGATTCTGCCCTTTCTTCCAATTTCGCACCTAATCTTCATCATGATTAAGCCCTTTTGTTCCATAAAAATTCTAGCATAAGTGTAATTCGTCTAGTAGAATGTTGGGGAAAAAAGAACATGCCTTTGCTTCGTGAAAACAAAATGGCGTCCAAACAAAAACTAGCAAGTTGCTGTAGCACGGTTGGTCGCCAAATTTTTGCCAAAAAATTGCTAAGTTACCATAATCCAAAGATTAACCGAAGTAAATTTCCTTGCAGAAGTAAGTAATGCTAAACTTACTTTTTTTTCCTACCAAGGTGTTTCCCTTTTTTATTGTCTATACTTGTCTTGATGAATATTAAAATTAGCTTTGATTTTTTAAAATATAATTATTAAATAATAAATTAAAAATTTTCTATAATGAAATGCATCATTGCATTTCCATCTCACTAACATAAGAACTTAAAAAAAAAATTTACTTATAATTGAAAGTGATATTTGTATTTTGCAATAATAAGATTAATATTTTATTTCTTAACAAATTTATTATCAATATTCACGTGCGAAATGACAATATTTCTGTCGTTTCGTGCCAAAAACAGTAAAATAACGGATGTCGTAAAAAATACGACACACGCACACCCACGTAAAATTGCCAAGTGCACGTGCTGGAAGGTTAATCTTATCGCATACAGCCATTTTATGGTCTAAAGCACAAAATAAGCGATGTACTTCCTAACCAACATTTTAATGCATAAATAAGCCTTTAAAAATATTTTCCCATAAGTCAAATTCACAATTACGCAAACAATCATGTCATCATAGGGTTCCCATAACATTCAACTACTCTTACCATAAATGAAACAACTTGTCAATAGTTGAAGAGGTCCCCCTAAAATACAGACTAACCCACGTACAGTTGTTATGGAACATGGATCTCATCTTAGTTTATGGTTTTGCCAATAAACTGACAATGACAACATTTTCCCCGTTCAGATAAAACAGTTTTATCAATTCCCTTAACTTCTCTGTAAGTGTAATCTTGTTAGCATGTTCGAACACCTGACTGAAGAAACAACAATCTTCCCACACTACTTATTAAAGGTTTTCCACAAGCCATTGCTTCAAAAATGGCATTCTGTGATTGGTGCTTCTAGTGTCTATCCCTGTGAATTATGCAAAGCGTGTCAATGCACATCTTCTCTGTGTTGTCACTGGTCCTTTAAAGTGTTCACTGAAAATGATTTACACTGGCAATGTTTGTCATACATATATCATTCCTATACCATTTGTTTTTTCAATGTGTTCATCAATTTTCTCAGGAAAAATGTGGATATTGGCATTCAAAAATTCCAAATTTTTTCACTGTAACCATAACCATGACAGCTCTATTGTTTTAAATCTTCAATCTCGAGCACATGCCTTTAAATAACAATACCTTAAATTTCAATTTGACTTTTGAGCGGATAAGCCGCTAGGGATTCATATAGAATCATAGTTTCTCTGAGAACATTCTCCCCAACTTATCTCTATACATAACGATTTTGGTTAGCTACAGTCTAATCATTCAGTCTACATTATCCATGCATTTTTAATATTCCCAAATTTAATTTTTTGCTACTTACCTGGGACAGCTGTTAAAATTACATGAGCTATGTCAGCAGTTAAATAAAAGAATCATTTCTGTTGTCATAGCTTTTTGTGGTTTTGCTCATTAATAATCCAATTATGAGCCAGATTCTATATAAAAAGACACCACACCCCCAGCTGTTAAGACCACTGAATACTGGTATCTTGCTTTTATTTGGGTTTGAACCCAAGTGATCAGGCTGGCTACAAGATGGTTTTTTGTGTTTTTCTCCATGCGCAATATGAATACAAGGCAGTTTCCAGCAGAATGTTCTCCACAAAGGCACTTCTCCTCCTAGGCAGAATGCTCTCATGCCTTTACCATATTCAAATAACCAAAACTGTTCAAATCCTAAGTAAAAGTATTTATTCCCATAAGCAGGAAGACTCATTTCACTTTCCTATATTCCAAAGTTCCTGAATAGTTTCATAAATGTTCTTTAATCTCTAAAGGGAAATTTTAGTGAAAAATAAGTATATATTTAACACAGGACTTCAAAAAGAATTCACACACAGCAAAAAAATTTCACAATTCAATAATTTTTTGCAGTAATCATTACATATTTCTCTTTTCAATACGTAAAAATTACTTACCACGAATATTTGTTTCAAATACAGAAACATTGATGTTAACATTGAAATCAGCTGTTGCAAGAAGAGTATTTACAACTCGTCTGAATTCAGTATAATTTTTCATCACTGCTAAAGTATCAAGGGCATCAATTAATGTCAGGGAAAAACTACCCCAAGTGTCCATTCCACGGCAAGATATAGGTTGAAGTTCATCGTAAGGAAAAGCACTCTTCAAATAATGATCATATGCATGATGAAACATCTGTACAACTTTTTCTCTAGTAAAAAGAATGGCAAAACAGAAAAATTTATGTTTTATTTCTAACAAAATGTATAGAAAAATAAAAATTTTTAAAAAAGTGTAGGTCAAGGATTCCTATGTTTATTAGGCTGATCTTTGGAATATGGTAACAGGTAGTTTGGCGACATTTTGGAGGTGATAAAGGTTACTACCTAGGACTTTGGGAATAATGTGAGAAGTACTCAGTTCCGATTAGATTTGTGTGAGGGGAAATGAGAGATCATGAGATATGTCATGTGACATTAATGGAGAATCATTGTTCTTTCGCTTTCCGATAGATATAATATATAAAAATCTGCTGTACTTTACGCAGTAGTTTCATTCTATGTTCTGTGAAACAGTTGTGTTTAATATTTGGATCCCGGCCGTATATAAGTAAATCCGAAATTTTTATTGTGGTTTATGTGTAATTGAAAAGAATTGCTTAATTGCAGATAATATGAATGTCCAATATGTGGGATTTAAATGAGATTATGTGAAAGGAAGAATATTACAGATAGTTTGAATGGCGTGCAAGAAACCTGGTGAAAATGGACATTTTGTGATCCGCCATGCACTCAAGATTCTGTAGAAGTAGGTAAGTTAGTATTTTAATTATTTGAGGATATTATTTTATGCATTGTTAAATGTAAGGAGTATAAATTAACGGGTATTATGAAAATTGTATTAGCAATGATTTATTTTAAAGTAATTCTATATAATCTATTTTTATTAATTAATATGTGTTATTTATATTTTTTTATTTTTTTTAATTTTAATTATATTTTATTTATGATCGTGATTTTAGAGTTATGTTGTAGTATTTTGGAATACGTTTGAGTAGTGAAAGTGCATGGAAAGATTTAAGTATTTGACACTAAGTATTGTAATAATTTTTAATGTTTTGTTATAAATTCGCTGGTGCTTTTATGATAGATAATTTAGAGGTAAAAGTTTTTGATATTTTATTTATTTATACGGCAAATGTCCATCCTTGGAAGGTATATACATGTTCGCGATCGGTAATTTATATAGGCCTTTTTACCGGAATTAAGATTACAAAATTTTCATGCATTTTCGTGAATTTTTTCATTTATGAGAAAAAAGCAGTGTATGGATATAGTGAAGAGTGTGCAAGCAGTTTTGTGCATTCTGGGATTTTTAATCAAATAAGTCGACGTGTACATGGTTAATATATTTTAATTAATGATAGTTATTGGAATTATATGTTTTATACGCAATTGGATCGTTTGAGTGAAGTAAACGGAAGGGAATATTTAAATTTGACACTAAGTATTTGTAATGCTTGCGTATGAATTCGTGTGACGTGTTAATATATGATATTAGAGGTAAAAGTTTTTGGAATTTATTATTTTCTATGTGAATGTTATATTGAAGGGTATACTTTCGCGATCAGTATTTCTATACGTCTTTTACCGGGTTTAAAGATTCAAAAATGTCATGCATTTCGGAAATTTTCTAATTTAGAGAAAACATGTCTGGATTAGTAAGAGCGTGCGCAAGCATTTTTGTGTAATTCGGGAGTTTTTTTAAGTAAAAAAAGTAAGCATGTACATGGTTTATGTGTAGTGTTATTTGAAAACCGTAAAGGGTATGGATGTGCACTTTTCCAATTTGCAGTGAATATTGTCTGATTAAGTTTGTTAGATAAAATTTCTAGCATAAGTGTAATTAGGCTAGTAATGTTGAAGAGTGTCGTAATAAAAAGAAGAAACATTTTTTTCCTTTTTTTCGTGAAGACAAATGGGCGGGAAAAAAAAATAGATGTTGCTATAGAGAGGGGTCGCCAAATTTCGCAAAAAATTGCCAAGTACCATAAGTAAAGTGACCGAAACATCTTAAACTTTGGAGAAAATTCAGGTCTGTTATTTACCTTTGAATCGAATTGGGTTTTTTACCTCAGTAGTTAGATTTTAAGTTTACTAGCTAGCGAGTCCTGACCTGCGCAAAGAAAAAACAAGGGGGGACAGTTTACTGGGCCGATACAACATTCAATTGCTTTTTCAGTCTTGAAGTGCCACTTGGATATATATTTAGATTTATATATCATTTGTTCTAACCTAGGTATTTTAACCAAACGAACTTTTTGAATAAGGTACCAATTGTTTTCCCATATTTCATTCTAGTGTAATCGGCTAAGATGTGAAACGTTTAGAATAAAAAGAAAAGAACCATGTCTTCAAAAAACAAAAAAAAAAAATAGGGGGTCGAGCAGAGTGGTCGCCAATTTCGCCAAAAATCGCCAAGTTACCATAATCCAAAGATCAACCGTTTATTACAAGTATTTTTAGAATGAATTCAGTAATGAAAAAGTAATTAGACTAACTGTTTTATAAGAACTCATGCTGTTGTTTTTGGTTGCTAATACAAGAAATACTTACCACTTGTACCTTTAAAGCAATCACAAACATCTATAAAATTGTTGTTATTGCAACGAAAGTAGTATCTCTTATTTTTCTTATTACAAGCTAAATGACAGGTTTATTGACTTTTAATTATATTCCAGAAATTGAAATTTTGATTCATATAACTGATTTTCTAGTTACTTAAAAAAATTTTAAAAAGAATTTCCTACTATGTTACCAAAGTACAATCACTGAATATCATTTTATCATAATTAAAAAAATAATAATAATAATAATAAAAGTTTTGGTTACAGATTAAAAAGATATATGGATAATCAAGGTATCAATCAAGAAGTTCACTTTACATTCACACCGGGGAATAAATGTGCTATTAATTCAATTCGTTTACAGTATTAACTAGATTTGCCCCAAATCTGTAAAATTATCAACCATACAAACTAATGAACAATTACAAAGCACTTTCTTATGTAGCATATAATGCAACAATTGTAACAAAAGCAATAACAACGAGCTTGATTTATCACTAATTAATTGGCAAAACTTCAAATATCCATTTATTTAAATTAGCCGATCGGTTCTTTTTGAAGCTTTTATGATTAAAATGTTTCACTCATTATAGAATTTGCTAACTGTAGGGAGAAAAAAATTAGCTAAATATTTTCTCTATCAGTACTTTTTCATAGTTCTCAAACTTAATTTGCTTCCATACTATTAATTCTTAATATACAGATCACCTTTCTTGCAATATTTATACAGCAGAATGTCGTTTACACAAGTATGGGTTAAAATAGTTATACACAAACTCTACAATAAGCATAAAAGGAATACGAGTTCAAATAAACTTTGAATTCAAGTGCTCAGCGATCTTTACACGGCAGAAATTAGACTGCGCATTATTCAAGAAAAGCATATACCAATATACACAGAAGGTAGAATAAAATTCACAATTCATTAAAGCAAATTGTGTTAAATATGCATTTAGGAAACTCATGTTACTTAATATTATAGTAAATACAGACAAACTTGATAATTTAACATAATTTAGGCGAATGAATCAAAACATGACAGCTGAAATGAAATCGGTAACTAACGGGGCAGTATAACTTAAGTCAAATGCAGTATAAGGAAACTTTAGAATAGTTCATATGAAATATTAAAGATATACCGTATCAAAATTGCGTGCTGTTAATAAATCAAAACTGCTTACAAGTTACCGGAAAAAATTATAATGTTCAGCAAAAGGTAGGTTTTGACATACAAGAATGAACGGCCAACCTATTCAGTTAAAACATACTTGTACGGAGATTCACAACTGATGAAGCAGATAATGGATTTAATGCTATGAACGTTTCTAAAGAACTGCTGTTCTCATTCTGTATATCTTATAATATGAGACACAGATCTATAGCATTTTGTTTACCAAACTAAATACGGGACCAGTGAACGAAAAGTGAGAGATTTAATTTCCTCTTCCCCCAGGATACAAGTATTTTTTAGAAGCAAAAACATAGTTCTACTCATACTGTTATTCTATAAGAAAATCTTCAATGTTATCAAATAACTTAAATAAAACAATAAAATTAAATTCTTTGCAAGAAATTTAATTATTTTCTTAAAAAGATCATGCGGAGAAATGACGAAGAATCTACACTAGAAATTACTATTTACCTGTACATTTTTATGTCACTATCTGTAAAAACTCGAAAAGAATATGATTTGATGAATATAAAACTAAACAATGTGATGTAAACATAAAAAAAAGTGCACATGCCGGCCATGTTGTCACGTTTCCATAGCAGTTTGCGTAAGTTGCCAGAGAAGCGCTCCGATCATGTGCAAAGTTTCAGCGCTTTTAAAAGTATTACACTCTCATTATGAAATTAATATTACTTATTAATCAGGCTCTGATTAGCAGCACATTTCATTCCAGTTTTCTCTGTGCATAAGCTTTGAACTGCTTTATTTAAATGATGACCAAGTATATGGGGAGTGAAAAAAATTACGTCTTTGAAGAATTTTCAAAGAAGTTTTGATCTCTTAAAAAGGGACACATGTAAGCAATGACATGTGGCTAAAAATGAATGATTAGGTATGGATAAAAAATATAAAATGAAATGTATTAATGGTATGAAATACCATGTTTACTCACTTATTTCTCCCCCTCGCATAATTTTTTTTCCTAGTTTCTCCAACAAGTGATTTTGAAACTTTTGATGTAGCGTAACAGTTTAAAATGTACGCAAAAATGGACAGTGTAAATAAAAAGAGCATTGTTGAAATAGATAAGTCCTTTGAACTTCACAATGCATAGTAATATTAGTGTGACCTTATGTGTGCTTTTTACTGCGCTAGTAGTATTCAACCCCCCCCCCTAGTAGTGACTCGGTAGTTTGCGACCCGTTTTGGGGTACGGAAAATTTATAGTGATGTCGCAAAATGAATAAAAATCCTAAAAAATACGAATAGATGGTGTGTAACTAAATGTTGAAATTATGACTGGGGTCGCGGATTTTAGAATTTTAATGGGATAGCGCTGCCATCAAGTTTGAATACTATAGATTTAGGCATTTATCTTGGGAACTTATTATTTTTCATTTCCCAATTTTCAAGCGATAAAATTAGTGGGAAAATGAGGAATACCCGAGTAATTACGATATCTAAAATAAAACTAGACAAATGCTTAATGCATTTCAGTTTCGTTGTAACGCTCTTTTGGTTTCTTCAGCTGCAGCACACGTAGCAGTGGAGTGTCGACAATGGACTGGAGGGACTAGGCTATTCTCCCAATATTTTATACGTTAACACTTTCAAGCATATCTTTCTATAACATTCAATACATTAAAAGGAACATTATTTACCTCTCCTGAAACCGCGCCCCATTCAGTGTAATTGAGTTTCAGCGAAAATGGGAGGAGCTTGGATCCCGCCAGTTCTAAGCAAGGAAGGATTTTACCTGCTCTCTGTCTTAAAATGTTAATTGCCTTAAAATTTTTATTAAATACTGACAGCAGATCTTCCGAAATAAAAATTTTCTAAGCGAAATCCATCTAACTTTTAGAGCTATATTTTAGTTTGTCTTCATGAAAGCATTCTAATGGTACGCGAAGTAACATATAATTAAGCAATAATTCAATGTTTAAACTATGGAGAGGGAAGCAGCACGTAACGCAACTCACACAAAAAGAAAATCATTTCGAAGCATACGCAACCTATCTTTGTTGATGTTCTATGACAGGGCGACCATAGCTGTCAGTATACAAGTTGAATGTTCTGACTTTATGCATGATATGACCAAGTATTTAACGGCGTCCGGTATGACGGATTAATCTACAAACTTCCCATGATGAATCTTCCCACGGAAACTATCACGATTCTCTCGTCGTTCATCGATTATTGTGAAATGTGGTGATAATATGTATGACGCATATTACATTGTAGCAAAAGTGTCACAGGTTTTGACTTTAGGTCCAATTCTGTATCTTGTTTACGTGAAAGATTTTCCTAAGGGTAATCAAGATCATAATTCCTTGTTAATTTGCTAGACAAATGATACTGTCATCATGGTCATAGCAAGAAAACCTGAAGATATCATGGACATTTATCATAGCAAGATCCTTGCCATCGAGGAGTCGAGCAGAACTTGGAAGTTTCACATAAACCCGACAAATTGCAGATTCTAGCCGTCCGAAAATTCCATAAACCCGACAAATCGCAGATTCTAGTCGTCCGAAAATTCTAGGTCTCACATAAACCCGACAAATCGCAGATGCTAGTCACCCAGAAATCATAGATTAAAAAACCAAGGCAGTGAAAAATGTAATAATGCTCGGAAAGTTAATCTCACTTGTAAACAGCATTAAGTATTTGGGAATTTTTACCAAGAGGTTCTTCACATGGTCCACCCACCTAAATGAAGTAAGGGGAAAAACTATGAGCCTCGTGATTAAGCTCCGGTCTCTACTTTAAAAAATATTACAGCTTTCCCTAACAAGAAATAGAAGAATCTGAGTTTCCATCACAAAACAAATCCTCAGTTAGCTTCTCCATCACAGGCTATAACAAAGGATAATGAAACTCAAAAACTGCAGAACAATACAAAGAAATTGTACAAAGCAATTCCTACGGCTCATCCCAGGAGCACAAGTTTTACCAAGGTTACCAAGAACTCAAAGTTTGCACGGAGACTTAACCTTTTCCAAGTGCTGGAACATAGCAAATTCTAACGGCTCATCACAGGAGCACAAGGTTTACAAAGGTTATTAAGAACGCAAAACTTGCTTAGAGACTTAACCTTTTCCAGAGGGCAGGGACATAGTATATGTCTCGAGCTAAGTGTCATTGTCCCGAGCAAGTGGAAGCTGGGGATAGTTTCTCGTTGATCGTAGGTTAGGAATTCTAACGCTTGAGGCTTAAAGACTGTTTTACGACACCCCGGAGAGTGTGCTCTTTTGTGGGATTCCGCCAATGGGCATTAAGAAATCTTCCATATTTTGAAAGCACATGGCTTATTTGCGAATTTTGTATCTTCCAGGAAGTATTTTGTTCAGGAGGAAAGAAAGAATAATTTTTAACTTCTATTCTCACATCTTTGCTTTTTTAGATCTTCCTTCAGTGCTTTTCTGTTGCAAATACCGTTACTAGTTCTTTCAGCTGATATATTTATAATTTTTTCGTGTTCAGTTTTAAATAATGGCTAAACGGAAGAGATACTTAACAAAAGAGGGAATTTCGGATTCGGTGGCATGAGCTTGATGAAACGTTTGTGGACAGCGATTATGATTGCTGTGAAGAAAGTTTTTGTAATGACCGAGAAAAAAGATTTTTTTTGCTTTCACTGATCTAGAAAATCATACGAAGTGGAATTTCAGTGTGCAGTGGCAGAATCAAGAGGGGACACAGAAACGCCTAGCTTTTCCTCTGATCAAATTGGTCCGAAAAATCTGATAAATAAAATATTTAATTGGATAAATAAAATTAAAATTGTATTCGAAATAAGGAAGCTAAACTTACGTCCATCTCATAATTGTATTTAGAAATGCCTCCTTTTATGAATCATTTCGATTACAAAAGGAATTTTGTCTTTGCGACAAATGAAAAGCAAATTTTTATTAATGCAATTAGTGTACAGCATTTAATAGTTCAAAATTTTAAAAATGTTAATAAAAATTATTAATTTATCCCTTGTAGAATGTTTGTGTCTATAATATATCTGTATTAATTACTTCAGAAAGTAGATTCATTTGTTTAGGTTAATTATACATAGCAAAGAACACGAGGGCTATCTGCCTAAGGAAAGAGGTGCCTTCGTGGAGAACTCTTATGGAAGACTGGCTCGTATTCAGGTTTCCCATGGGAAAAATAAAGAAAACCAACCGTACAGCCAGCGTGATCACCTGGCCTTGAACCCAGGTCGAACTATCAGTATTCAGCCGTCCTAGTCACTTGTTCACTCTTAGTGTTCAGAAAATAATTTTTACATGAGAATTGTGTTTTAGAGTGAATCGGCTAAGATATTAGGATACTAAGCTTATATACAGGAACTCAGCTGTATACTATTTTTAGTTCCCTAATTTCAATCCTCAGCGCGAATCTAACAAATGTATACCGAGATAGTCGCCGTGCCACCCTTCATTACTCCCAAAGAAAGCAAGAATAAAAAGCTTGAGATCTGAAATTTTCGCATAACAATCTGACATTTTGTAGGGTTTTATTTTAATTTTCTTATTTTCTAATTTTAGTTATTTTTATTTTGGAACAAGCCTTTCCTATACATCCTAATTTCACACCTACTTTTTTTTTCCCTAGGATTACCTATTTAGACCATCTGCAGCACACCAGAAACTACAATTTACCATGAAGTAATGCTTTCTTCAACACCAGTACTTCTCCTGAAGCTTTTATGACCCTTCTCTGCTAATCAGCGCTAATTTTCAACAAGACACTCTTGATATTAACTTAACAGCATTTCCTGTTTCTAGACTGGCCTTTGTACGCACATGTGGCATCGACGCCACAGCCCCAAATGCCCTCCCACTAAAAATTATCCAGTGTTCTGCCGAGTTAATTCACCTACTGCCACACCACAATAAACCGCCACCACACCACAATTTATGCCACTGGAAAAGAACATTGAGTGATATCTCTGCTTTTAACTAAAAGCTTTATGGATTTGTTTATGTGTCTACGAAACCAGGATATCCATTCTTTTGCAAAGACTTCACGAAGACCTCCTTCCTCCTCAAGATGCCTGCTCGACGCTTCTCTCTGAACAGAGCAAATGCTACGTCGACCATTTCCCAACCCATGTTTTTTTGGAAGGGGTGACTCTGAGGTTAATGGCCTCTTTTCTTCGTCTGCATTTGATACTCCTTAGGAGTCGCACATTAGAAGCTCTCAACATCAGACACCTTACGGGATTAGTTCATGCTGCAGCAAGAAAGGGATGCTAAGTTGCAGAAGCTGAATGCCTGTATGACATTCAAGTATATGAGCTGTCAATGTCAGAACTCTAAACTGGCGATCGCATGTCTATCATGTGTTTTGGAACAATATATTTTAAAAGACGCAATAATAATGATAAAAGGTTGATCTATTTCACAGTCCTCTTTTGTAGAAGCCTGAAACGCTCTACTTGCTATTTAAAAGTGGAATATTGTATAATTTCAAAATGATTAATGATATGCAAAATAAATGTTTCATTCCTTTCTCGAGATGAAATGCTCATTATTTTTTACGGCATCCATTAGATTAATAAAATAATATTTTATTATTACGGTAAGATAA